GATGGCGCTTGGTGATCATTTCATTGGTATTTGGCATGCGGGGTACACGATTGAAGGACGGGAAATGGACAGTTTTCGCTCAGAATTACGGTTATGGGTAACCGTTTAGATAAATAAACGGTTATAGGTATAACTGTTTATCCGTGAAATTTAAATGGACGGTTATGGATATTACTTGCGGTTATAAACGAGTACCCATTTAATTGTTTATTTTAATATATGTAAAACTAAAACTAAAAAAAAAAAAAAAAAAAAAAGTTTCTAACTAGGTTTAGTATCCGAGATATATTTGGTTATAAAGGGCCATAATATATATATATATATATATATATATATATATTTATGCTTTACTTGAGAGAAAAATATAGTTAATAGAACGGGCTAATGTTTAATATATGTGATTCAATGTGCTAAAACATTAGAGTGTTTGACAGTTTTGTTTTGGAGTCTTTTAGAGCTTTGACCAATTCAAGATAATGATTACCTTGAGCATTTAGAAACATGTTGTTATCAAATGATGCGAACCTATATATATTATTAGAGTTGTTAGAGATTGAAGTGAAACAGAGCCATGTATTATTCTGTTTATTTTCTTCACTAATATTAGATAAGAGAAATGAACGCAGAGAGGAACAAATGAGAAAAACATGATTATTACTTTCTGCTTTTCATTTTTTGTACTACCCATATGATACAAGCATACGTCTCTTTTAATGCATGTAAAAGGCTTACACACCAAAATAATAAAAACCAAACTTCTACTATTTAAGCAATATAATTTTGACTTCTATTCTTCCACTTTCCACCCTTAGCCATATGTGGTTGTTTTCTTTATGTGGACATTCACACCAATTTCACAACAGAAATCATTACTTGAGTATTCATAGTCTCAACAACTACTAATGTTAGTGAGAACCAATTCAAGAATTAATTACAAAAAACAAAAAGGCACAATTTTGTATTACTTGTAGGGCAAGTAACCCCATTATTTTTCTTAAAAAAGGCACAGGGTACGGAGAAATATCATTACAGTAATTCCAAAGCCTATCTTTTCTCTTTATGCAGCTCCACCCCTCTCTCTCCTTTAATTAAATTTAGGCCACAACGCATTGTTAAATACGCTCTTCACACTGAGCTAAGGAACTGAATGCTTGTTTACTACAAAGTCGTTCACAATATTCATCAAGCAATCCAAGTAATCTATAAAACATGATTTCAATTTCAATATTTTTCAGCAATGATTGCATGAAACATTCACTATGAAGCATGAACTCAAATTTTACGTTTTTTTTTTCTTTTCAAATTATAGATTCAACTTAAATTTATTGTTCTTATAATTGTAGTGAATTGAATATGCGTGAATAAGAGAAGAAAAAAAATGGGATTTTTCAAACCCTACACCCATGAGAGTCGCAGCCTGAAGCCACACTGCCCAAGCCACCAAGTCGTTCCTGCTCCAAAACTCTAAGGTCCAAAACAAAGCCGTTTTGCATCACATTTCTTACGGACCTGGACTGCTTGCAGTCGACCCGCAACCCAATTGGGCATATGCACCAAACCGTCACTTGTTTTTTTTTTTTTTCCTTTATGGCCTTGTTTTATTTTTGGCTCGCATGAAATAACAAGCCTATGGATTAGGCCTTGTTTTTCACTTTTCCTTCTTAACCCAATAATTGGATATATAATATGTTAACCCATTTACTTCTCCTTTGTTGTCCAGCAACCCAAAAACCACTCTTTTGGACCTGCAAACCACGACAGCCCATATTTTAGGTCATCACTCATTCTTTTCACACATAGGTCCCGAAGCTATTCCCGTTCACTACATATGTATATTGTGTTTGTTTGCAGGTATCATGAACCTAGAGTTCGTACTTAAACTCGAACTTGAAGTTTTGAAAATAAGTGTCATAGAAATTCAAAGTTTCATAAAACAATACACCCGTAAAAATCTAGAGTTCTTGTAGGCGATTTGTTAGGATTACATGTAAATGATGCATTTAAAAACAACTATAAAATTTAGCTTGTGCAAATTACTTTATTGTCCATAATTTTATTTTGTGATAGAAGACAAAAATGTTTTTTCATCCTCTTATAGTTGACAAAAAGAGTTTCATTAATATGTGGTTTAAATTAACTTCTTTCTTACAAATATGTTATGTGTAAATAAACTAACTTGAAATAGGTTCAATTTTATGGAAAGAGATCCTCTCTGGATCCTTTCCACCAAATCCACCCAATCAATCAATCAATCCAGGCCCTTGAAATTTGATCCAACGGCTACAAACAGGGGGCCCCTTTAAAAGTTATAATAACTTTAGCCGTTGGATTAAATTTCAAGGGTCCGAATTAGGTAATTTGGTGGATTTGGTGGAAGAGATCCGGAAATGATCTCTTTCCTAATTTTATGGCCTAACAATTAGATTAGTCCAATTTTTAGTTTTTTTTTTTTATTTAGGTCCATGAATAGGACTCCATGTGTCAGCACTTTTTGTTGTTAACTTCATACTTTGCATTGTGATTACTATTTTACTCTATTATAGCTATTCAATGGAAAAAGAAAAAAAAAGAAAAAAAAAAGAAAATGATACGATCGGTCCGTTGATAGTTATTCTCCTTGAGGATAATCGGTATAAAAATAGCGACTAATATCCAAAATAGTCGCTATCTTTATACCGATCCATCCCTTTTCAATTTTTTTTAGTTTTTTTATTTTATTGTTTATTTTGTTAATGTTTCTTTTATTTCTCTTACCATAACAACAAACTATCATATTCTTGTTTTTCAAAATATATTTTTTCTGTGCAAAATATATTATAATTCATTTTTAAACATTTGTAAACAATGATTTAAAACCTAAATTTAAAGATATTTTTCTATTCTCTCACTTTAAGAATCAATAAAAAATAGTTTCAGGACCTAATAATCGGTACGATCACATCCAAATGTTTTTGCAATATTTTTCTTAACTCCAACGCAAAATATTTCTTAAATCTAAAAATTTCAAATTTTTTTTTTCACAAAAAACTGTGTGCTATAAACCAAAGTTAGAGTCATTCTATTCACACCACATATTTCCTAAAATTAATTTAGGACATTTCCAAGTCCAAGTGCTAGCGGTAGAAGCTAGTCGCCAGAAGCGAACTTGCGGGCCGGGAAGGAACCAAAAAACGTGAGTGTCCAAAATTTCTGACACGTATAAATCTCTTGGGGGGTCTCGCTATTAGTTATATTATTTTTCTATTTTTTTTCAACTCAGGTACCCTATTAGTCGGCATAAACTTAGATTTCAGCTAATCTTTTACAATCTAAACTACCTATCATATAAGTACTTTTACAATCTAAACTACTTGTACAAGCTAAACTACCTATCATATTATAATATTAGTCGGCATAACCTTAGATTTCAACTGATATTTTATAATCTAAACTACTTATTATATAAATTTATATACTTTTATAGTTCAGACCTGCCATATAAGTACTTGTACAAGCTAAACTACCTATCGTATTGTGACTACCTATCATGATGGAATAAGTAAATTTACATGATTCTAATAGTAAGATGTAGTCCTCCATCTTGGTAATGTTAAAAGCCCCTGAAGCTAACACAATCAATGTCAAAAACCTCTTGAGCAATTACTTACGTAAGACAATCATTGTATAATGCTCGCTAATCATGTAGACTAGAATCATGTAACAAATACCAGCAAAAATGAAGCTTACTGTTATAAACAACTCAATGAAAACATGTAAAACTACTTGTAGTTCTTATAGCTTCATGAGAATTCAAATTCAAGTTTGGATACTAATCTGCAGGAATTGCGAGGAAAATTCAAAACAGGAGTCGGATAGAGTTTTTTATGAAACGAAGAGATTTGATGAGTAACTTTTTTTTTTTTTTTTTTAATACCACGATATGTTTTACACTAAAAATGATGAGAGTTTTTTATGAAATGATAAGATTTGATGTGTAACTTAAAGTTCCATGTTAATTTTGGAAGAGTCATGATAAAACATTCAACGATAGTCGGTGCAATTTTGTTTTCAAATTATGGACACTTTAATTGCTCTACTTATTAGACCCTACCTATGATTGTGCAATACATTAGACCCATATCAAAACATACGGATCAGGATCCTCTCCTGAGCAAAAGATGAGGATCCTCCTGACCAAGCTCATCGGCCTGTTGAAATTTTATCCAACGGTTACAAACAAGGGACCTCTCTAAAAATTATAATAATTGTAACCGTTGGATAAAATTTCAACGGCCCGATGGGCTTGGTAAGGAGGATCCTCAATCAGAATATTTCTTATGTCTCCAGCTTGATACAGTTTCATGCGCGATGATACTTTGATTGAAGAGAAATCATAAGTTAAAATGACAGAATCGAGACCTGTAACTTTTTATACTCAAAAAATGGCGCCACCAATGTACTTTGAAGCATGCTAGAATATTTGGGATACAAGTTGCGAAATTCGGAAACGGATCTTCTCCGGATCCCTTCATTCTAATCCACCAAATTAGATGATCCGTGTCATTGAAATTTGATCCAACGGCTACAAACAAAGGCCCACTCAATTTAAAGGTTATAATAATGTTAAATCAAATTTCAATGACATAAATTTCCTGATTTGATGAATTAGAAGGAAGAGATCCGGATACCCTACTTGTGTGTAACATTTTCCATTTTTGAACCCTCATTCAAAGTTGTCGTGGTGACGGATTTATCAAAATCGAATGCCGTATGCAGATCGAGGATGAGAGAACATGCGCACCAACAAGATCAAACAACGTAAAAACAACCACATAAATCTGAAACTTTTGGAGAGTATTCGGGTAAGGATGAAAAATCCAAATGCACACCAACAAGAAATGTACTTGGAATAACCACCCCACCCCACCTCTCTCTCGCCCACTTTCCAAAGATTCCCACTTGAGAGACATTCTCGGTATCTGGATTAAATTTAATTTCTCTCTCTTAATATAAGAGGAAATCCTGTGAGCAGTTGATCTCCAGAGTTTGTTGAAAAGCCATGAAATTCGGGAAGAAGTTCAGGACCCACCTGGAGGAGACGCTCCCGGAGTGGAGGGACAAGTTCCTCTGCTACAATCTCCTGAAGAAGCTCCTCAAGGGCTTCCCTGCCACCGCGGCTACCATAGCCGCGGTGGATTCCCTCCCTCGCCAACTCGAGCTTCAGCGGCAGCCGGCAGATGCCCATCCGGCCGCTGCTGATGGAGGTGATGGTGGGTTCCACCCTTTGGCCGGACTCCAGGATTGGTTCGTTGCGATTCTGAATGAGGAGCTGGAGAAGTTAAACGATTTCTATGTGGATAAGGAGGAGGAGTTCGTTATCCGTTTCCAGGTTATTATGATTGCCTTTTTTTATTCTTGTCTTCTTGAATTTGCATGTGTATATATATATATAAGCGCTTTAATTTTGATGGGTAGTTGATGGATTTGGCTTGCGTGTTATGGATGTTAGAAAAATTCAATCTTTCTCTTTGTGTTAAGCGATTTGCAGATACTGGTGTTATGCTGGTCTCTTAGGCCTTGATTGGTGTCTAGTAACGGATTGGATTGGATAATTCACTACGTTTAGTGTAAGTTGAACGAAGAAATGGAAATTTTGTCGAGTTGATGGTAGGATTCAGAGGATTCAGAGGGAGAAGTTTCTTTCATGTCGGGAATTCGGAGCTTGCGTCCATTTCATCATTCAAGAGCCTTTGAATCTAGTGAGTTATCCAATTCAATCGACACCAAACGAGGGCAGCATCTTAAGATGATTGATAGGCACGAGTAGGAGTAGGATGGCATCTGTAAGCAAGTGCGTTTTAGCTAAGGATTGTGTGTGGCTGGAACGATTTGTTGAGATAGAGTAGTGGTAATAGAACACAGAAGAGTTCTAAAATATTTCTTGAAAACAAGGGAAGTTTTCATAATAAACAGGTCGAGCCTCGAGTCTCAACTAGTTGAATTTCTCTTTTGATCATCAAATTCGAGAATCTTTCTCTTAACTAAGATCTCTCTCATGGATCAACGAATGCTGTGTAAGTTGAAGTCTGTATTTGTGTGGTGCTTGTTCGCTTGAAGCTAAGCCTTTTTTTCCTGGTCATCTGCTCTCATCTGCAAACTGCAATAATGACAGGAACTGAAAGGAAGAATCGAGAGCGTCAAGGAAAGGAGCAGCAGGGGTGGAGTATTTACATCAGAGAGCGAGTTCAGTGAAGAAATGATGGACATCCGTAAGGACTTTGTCACCATTCACGGGGAGATGGTGCTTCTAAAAAATTATAGCTCGTTGAATTTTGCAGGTACAACAGCTAGTTCTTTTCACCTTCCATATTTAGCCTGTATTGTACAACCGTTAGCATCAGGGAGTTTCTTCATTATATATCTGCGTTATCTATTGCTAAAATCAGCTGTCTTCTGGCTCATAGGGCTTGTCAAAATTCTAAAGAAGTATGATAAGCGAACAGGAGGAGTGTTGCGTTTACGTTTCACGCAACTAGCCGTACACCAGCCTTTCTTTACAACAGAGCCTCTCACGAGGCTAGTCCGTGAATGTGAGGCAAATCTCGAGCTTCTCTTCCCTTTGGAAGCAGAAATCATTGAAGGTACACCAACCACACAAGATGAAACCACCCCAGACAGAGGTCACTCAAACCCGCAGTCCAATGATTCGGCAAATATTGCATCTGAGACACCTTCAAACATGGAGGCAACATGGAGGCAAACACAGATATATATCGTGGAACTGTTGCCGCAATCAAAGCCATTCAAGGCCTTCAAAAACCAAGCTCCACTTCCAGCCCATGGTCGCTTTCAAATCACTTTAGAAGCCAGGACGAGGAGAGCACTGGTGCTGTCACAGCCGAAAATTCTACTTCAAACTCTGTAGGCAGCTGGCAGAGCGAAGGGGAGGATGACCAGTTGTAGTGTTTAACCTATCAGTTCCTGCAGTACATCCTCCGTTTCTGATCAAGAGGACGACAGTGTGCGTAAGAGCGTTTATCTTATTACTTTCGGTGTTACATTCTTGTTTTTGCTTCTTGTGGCAACCGGAATCCTAAACCCTAGGAGAAATTTACCATAGCATAATAGCATTAATCTGAAAGTTGTGTAGTTCTTTCAGTAGTACTTTTCAATGTTGTGCAGTTTTCTCAATAGCATTTGCTTGAAACTTATAATGTTGAACAACTTCACTTGAGCTAAATCTCATTCTGCTCTTCTTTGTTATCGTTTTTTTTCTTGGTTCATTTGTTACACGTAGTGATTTTGGCACACGTTTTTATGCATGAGAAGAAAACGAATGCAGAAATTACTTTCCTTGCCTCATTGTAGCATAGCATAGAACGAATGACAAACTCCAACCATTAGGAGTCTCGTTCTCATGGTCATCAGGTGACTAAGGATGCATGATCATCCACCGTAGATCCTAACCATTCATTTTTCACTTCTTTCTAGGGTCATTTCATTTTTTTTTTTTCTCTTGAGAATCTTCAGAATTGAAGGATGAGCATTTGAGGACTTTTCTCCAAGAGGACGTCAATTTTTTGATGTCCTTTTTGGGCAGACAAAATAAAGTATTTGAACCACTTGGTGGCCGCCTCCATTTCCGTTTGGATAGCAATCTCTGCCTGGCTCTGCTGTTAAGTGGGCATCAAATCCAGTTGTATCCACAGGTTTTATGGCCCCCAAATTAACTGCAATAATTGAGTGAGGCATCAAGTTGCGTGCTGATCTTTTCACCCTTTACTCAAGATGTGGACGTAGCCGCATTGGCTAGAGTGGTGGTGTTCTCGTTGTGCACCTAAATTCCTTCCCTGTAGTTTAGAATATCGTTAAAAAAGTAGGGAAACCCTTTTAACACTTGATAACAAGCAAGATAGGTTGTGTTCACTTTCCTTTTTGTTCAGTCTTCCAAACAAAAATGAAGAGAACAATTACAATTGTCTATTTTTCACTCATATTTTGCAAACAAAACGAAGAAAAGTGAAAATAAAAAGTAAAATTCTGCAACTTTCGCTTCTATCATATTTTGTATTTTTGTTCATGGAAAACATGTTCATCCGCTCTTGGTGTGATCACGGTCGTAGTTGAAGGGTAGGGGTACAGACTTGAACGCGCGATACTTTCCGACGTTGTTCAAGTGCTCATTCTCCAACCTGCTCAGTAAAACATCGAATGCTTATTAGTCGACAGTAGTTCAAGTTGCTCGATTTTAGAGAGTTGAGTACTGAGGAGTAAATCATACCGAAAGAAATTCCAAATGCCACGACGGATGATCTCTAAACAGGCGACTATCGCGATCAAGGCTGTTTTATGGACGAAAGGCGCTCCTCTAATTCCTAATACTGACTGCATCCAAGCGAGTCTCAGTAGAACATTCAACCCCTGCATCATGTCACATTATTCGATATTAATGTCAAACGACAAGGAAAGAATGGCACTCCGTAAGGGTTGAAGAAGTCAGCTTGTAAGTTGTAATCCTACCATGGCAACAAAATAAACATTGTGGTTTGATACGAGGAGTTTCTCTCTCAGCCAAGGGTTCTTAGAATTTCGTTGCAGAAGACCCCAATCGATGACAATGTCCCAATATGTACCGAAAACAGTTGCCACAACTGAACTAATTATAGCGAGGATTTTCCATGTCATCCCAGCTTTCAGGTCAAAACTTGTTCTCATGGCTACTGCAACGATTGTTGAGAAGTATTTCAGCGCGTTTAACCCTTGCATTCTGTCTTTCTCCTCTATCAAGCGTCGCACACACTGCAAGCAAAGAACAGTTAAAACCATATACTTTCATGAAGGAGAAATTAAAGAGTTTTGAACACAGAACACCTGAAGCGAACGCATCCAATAAGGAATCATTGCAACAATGAAGTAGAAAGATTTAAAAACGTGGCTGTCAAGGCAGTTGTGCGATCTTTTTTTGAAGTCCCCCCAACCGTAATAGCAAATGTAGAATTCTAAACTCCTGAAGGCTTGAACCTGAATGAAAATTTACAACATTACTCGATCATAAGCAACACAAGTATCAATACGCTAAACGAATCATAGTAGTGTCAGTACCTGGCTAGTAAGCTGATCTGCCAAGAAAAAATCCGGGAGGGTAACCTACCGAAAAAACAAACAAAATTTTAATGTGTTTTACTTGAGCGTATTCGATTAGTATGTCCACAGGAAGAAGTTATGCTCTGGTTACCTTATAAAGAGGAGCAAGAAGACAACGGAATATGCACAGGAGGAGGAAATATCGACTGGAACGATATATAATGTTGAAAGGACAAACCATTATAAGAAGCACAACCTGCAAATGTAATATATCCATGAAAAGGATTCATGAGCAAACTGTTTTAACGAAGTAAATCAGTTTTATTGAAGAATCTCTCTCTTACAATGACTAGGCCCAGGGGGACCAATTCTTTCACGGCTACGTAGCTTTTTGTTTTCGGATCCAACTCCATATCCAAATTTGAGATGGTACCAGCTAATGCGAGAATTGCAAGTCCTGAACTGACAAGGAATAGCTGTCTGTAACCAATCTCTGACCCTTGGTTGAAGCCAAAGATAAATGGATAATTTACACGATAGCGCCTCCAAAAGAATATGTTCCCTGAGAACATGATCAGATGTAGGACAATGAATCCAAACAAACTGCAAAAGTAGGAAAATGAATGATCGTCAAGAAACAAATAGCTATGCAGGTTTAAATTTCTCCACAGATGTAGATATGATGGGATAACTATTATGCACACACTCGCCTGTACAGCGGAAATATGTTTTCCATGTACAGATCATGCCCTGCACTCCTAAGGATATTTCTTGCATGCATAAGCACAATGATGGCTACTGTAAGTGAAATCGAGCCCCCAAAGAGCAGCCCTGCAGGTACACAAGATTAAAATGATCATTGATATCTTGCGTAAGGTCCACTAGATATGGAAACTGAGAAAGAACAAAGAACTTGTCATTCAGATAGCACAACTCTTACCCAAGAAAAATGTATTTCTATGCTTTTCCCTTTTGGTTTTCGGTCTTAATGTCTTCATTCCCTTTCTTCGATTGCCATTTGCGAAGTGCTTTATGAAGGTAGTCTCCACCCTTTCCATAAGCCTAGTAACCTGCGAAGCCAAAAGATGGATCATAAGAAAAAGCTTTAGACGGGCAATGGTCTGGATTCATAGTAATCGTCTGGATCATAAGAAAAAGCTTCACTCACTTCATCGCTGCTACCGAGATAAGAATTATCCACCATATTCAAGTAAGCCTTCGATGCAGGCCTTGAAGAGAACTGCACAATCACACGGTTGGTATGATCGAAAAAAATACCTTCAATTTTGAATGGATGAATCGGAAACAAAGCAACCAAACCTTGTCATATTTCTTCATGATCTTCGAGAAGGCCAATTGATTAAGGAAACTGCACCATCCATTAGCAATATAATCAGTCATACATAGCACTAATTTTTCGATTAATGTAATCAGGTTTTGTCATGTTACCAGTAGCTTTTCAAAAGCCGGAGCTTTTTGTAGAACTCACTAAAAGCCTGTGCCATTTGCTCTTCTACTTTCTTCAGCTCTTTCTTGCTGAATGATAAGTCGGGTTTCGTATTCGGCTGGAATATGCTTTTGATTGTTGATACAGGAGTTTCAGGCACCACGTTGATCTTTATATGATCCAAAACCTCTAGTGGTTGTGGTTTAAAACCCTTAATATTCACCGTGCCTCTGTTGGGTTTCCGGTCAGCGGTTTCCAATTCCTCGATTCCCGTCTCTTCATTTTCTTCCAATATTTCTCCTTCATTGCTCATCTCAACTTCTTGAATTACATCCATATCTACCCCTCCTTCACAATCAAAACAAATACTTCAAATATTAGGCAAAAAAGAAAAAAAATCTTATTAAATTAAGAATCTTATGCGCCTTTTTTCACCTTCTGCACTCCTCCCCTCAATTATGTAATTGAGAGGAATGCAGAAGGTGAAAAGAGAAATTCGGAAAATCACTTCGCTCCCCAAATCTATTGAACTTAAAGCCTATGTTATATAAAGTTTGAAACTATATATAACATGGAATCTACTAAGAAACCAAAAGAAATACAATTAAAAAAGTTCACATTTATTTTTTTTGCTTCTTAATTACCTGTTTTTCTACCACTTGGATGAACTGCTGAGACTGAAGAAATCCCATTGCTTGCCAACTCACTTCCTCCTCCAATATCCACCTTTGGATTATCAACCTTTAGCCTAAGAGCGATCAAACCATCCATCTGCCTACTCAACTCCTCGGCCTCCTCCACAACTTCCCCAACTTTCTTCTTGTAAAAGCAATTCACTTTGTTAAACTCATCGTCCAGGCTCCTAAAAAACACAACCTCAAACTCTCCTCCATCCTCGGACGGCATCAAGAACCTTGTCTGCCACTGCCCTTCCTCCCCTTCTTCAGCCACAAGTATCTCCTCGTCCTCCATCTTCCTCAGCGAGCCGCGTTGTCGGCTTGTCAGCCCACTGAATGCTCGGTAGAGTGCGACCCTCCGCTTTAGCACCGACCCTGCCGGCGTCGTGGCCATTGGTGTGGATGATGCATATTTCTTCCGGAAACGCACGATGTCTTTTATGATAAGCTTGAGAGAGTTGTAGTCCATGTATGCTTCTCGCCATTCCGGCACCATTTGCGAAACGAACTCTTTTCCGAACTTCATCTTCTTCCTCCTCCTCCAACCAAGCCCTCAATGAGTACGTAGCTCAGTTGATTACGAAGGTTGTCTCGTATCATTTAACGTGAATTTTATTTTTATATTTGGTAAAATCCAAATCAATATAACATGTAGAATTCTTTATTTTTGGAAGCTTCCCTACCAGTTTGTAACTTATTTTTCGACAAAACGACGTCCGATTCTAATTTAAACTTATTTAATCTAAGTGAAAGAGAATTCGAACTACGTGCAAGTGGGCAATAACAAGCAAACTGTCTTAGATTGACTGACCTAATCCACGTCCGTCGATATTAAAGATCGCTCGCCATCTTGCTCCACTGTTATTTACATGTTGCAACCACACCTATCACCTGTGGTCCTGCTTTTTGTTGTCTTCCATGGATGAATACGCAGTGTCGAATTTGCCTTTAATTCTGCAGAAGACGTATGCTGTCAATGATGTAACAGGAGTAAATGTACCTGACCAAGACTGGGGTAACCAGTGTAAATGTTACTTGACTAAGACTGGATCAGATTTAGTTAGCCGCTTTTCAACGTTTCCTTTCAAGATTTGTTCTTAATTTGATTTGTTCGTTTACATGCTAAGACCTTTTCTCTTTTGATCACTTGAGTTGCACAAAAACGAACGCAGAATCTGCAACTCTCGAATGCTTAGACAAGCAAATTTCACGGCGGATGCTATAACTTTCTTAGGCCATCATGTTAATAGTTTGTGCATCTGGGCATTTGGGACGGGATGATCCTTCCTCAAGCTGGAAATGCTTCCTTGTTTGACTCTCGGCGTCTCTTAAAATTAATACTTTTGTTCTTAAAAACATGCGTAGATAAATACTGTTAATCACTTGAGTTACAAAAAAAAAAAAAAGACAATGTTACAAGATAGGATGATTTGTTGCATTAACTTTGGTTAGTTAATATATACATAACTAGATATATACACATTGATACAAATAAATATTTACATGAAATGATGAGAAAACAAATTGATATCAATGTTGAACTAGTAATTAAAAAAATTATAATCTAAGCAATAATTAAGTATGGTTGTTGGACGGTGTTTTGGTTGAGGAGGACGATTATAAACCGGATAATGCTAGGGACACCAAAATTCTAAACCAAAATTTGCAAATCAAATGATATGTCACAAATAAGAAATAAGCATGTTAATCAATACTTAAGTAACAACTCAATCATCAAAATCCACATCATTTGGTTTACAAAATTTAGTAGCATTTGCGTTAGGATTTAAATAATGTGATGGTATTTTTTTTTTTTTGAACAAACGATATTATTTATACTAAGGTAGGGGGTGGGCTTAATGTGATTTGGTATTTAAATTTCAATAATGTGATTTGGTAAGACAAGAGTTATACGTGTTTGCAACAAAATGTGTTTCAAGTACCTAATTATAGGGTGCATTTTTGCTCATCACTCTCAAGTGGTGGTCATGCTCACCATTTTATTTTTTAGTATTGGATGACTTTAAATTTTGAGATTTACGTCTATCTACTACACACATCTCAAAATTTAACTCATCAAAATGATACAAATAAAATACAGAGCATAACATCACTTGAGGTTAATGGGCAAAAATAGAAAAATATTAAGGAAACTCTCAAAAGTGAAACTCTCTGTAAACTCTTTGCTATATGATGTTAAAGTGACAGAGTCAACAAAACTTTAAGATAATATCCTCGGTATTTCTTGCAAAAATATTTCTTACAATTATAGCTGGGACATGCACATTAATATTGCCAACTACAAATGCAATCTTATCCTTCCAAAACCAATATGCAAATTTGAAATTTCTTGAGTACCCAAACAATCATACTTGTCCACATGAAGAGAAATCTTTGAGGGTGTCTTTTATTACAACCCGATATTTTAATTTTATTATTTACAAAGATGAGAGTTTGAGTTTGAATGCTAGAAATTTGCACGAATTATTTCATTTTTTTTAAAAGAAATATTTTGGATCGATTATAAAGATGGTTGATGCTAATGATTTAATTTAGTTGACTAGAGAAGTGTGCTTCATCTTTACGCACTCAAATTTGAATCTCTCATTATAATTTAGATGTAAATCATTGTATCATTTGTCAAAGAGATGAACTGACATTTGTGACCTAATTTTAATAAACGACTTTTTGTTGGTGTTGACTACAAAAAATTACAAAGCCTACGTGGCGCGCAGGCCGAGTAACTAATGAGCTAACTACGTCCTTCGGTTGAATGCGGGGCGTGCCAACTCGTCGGCCGAGCTCGGCCGAGGAGTAAAATTTGATGTTGTCGCGTTGGGTACGCTGTTGACTTCTGTATTTTGCGATTGCGACCGAGGAATGAACGCTCTCGGTCTCTGGGTTCTATAGCCTGAAGACAAGGCTACTAATTCTACGAAGTTCACAAGTCGTCGGAGCCTGATTCGGTCACTGTGATTATATTCGTAAGAGTATAAGCACGCCGAATCGAGACCAAACTATATAGGCACAGGTACTCAAATGTGATGTATGTCTTGATGGTAAACGTAGTTCGGCCGTCGGAATGCCGAACCCTGAAGCTTACTTGCGAGTATCCAATCATAAAACCACTCGGCGTCCAATGCGCCGAGCAATGCAATTCGTAACACCCTACTATGCCGAAAAGACTTAGTAAGATGACCTCTACCAACAAGGACTCGAAAATCCTTCTCGGCCGAGACTTAGATAGATAATCGGTCGACCTCGACGCAGTGCTGTTTATCCAAACTGAAGGTGCTCCTCGGTCGGCTGATTCTGCGGCAGCAGTGCTGTTTATCCAAACTGAAGATGCTCGCCGGGTGCTTCCACAGTGCTGTTTATCCAAACTGAAGGTGTGTCGGCGGGGAAAAGAAAAGGAAAAAATCTCAAGGTGTTTGAGAAGTTTTGCGCAGGGCAATTGTATGCTGAGTTGAAGGTCCCTTCTGTTGTGTGAATTCTTGTATTTATAGCACCCGTTCCTTGAGACCAATTCGCACTCTGATTCGGATTGGGAGTCCCCGTCCCACTTCACTTCTAACTCGAAAATTCCTACTCCTACTGGGATTCTGAATTTTCCTCCTTTTGAGGCTCCATGCCTTGCCGGTCGAGACTCCTAGTCGCACCAGGACTTCCTCGACCTCTTCTATTCATCTGGACCTCTTAGGATAGGATTTGGCCAACCCTGCCAGCTGGCCCGGGTTTCATCATTTGGCCCACAACGTTCGTCATCACCTTGGGCCGAGCACATCTTGCTGCTCGGCCCAATAATATTTTGGGCCCAAACAGTTGGGTTGATAAAAAAAATTAGAATGTAACCTAACCATCTCTTAATCAATTAAGTTACAAACTTCTTATAAGTTTAATCAGATTCTAAATTTCGACATCATATGTGTCATACTAGTACGATAAATTTCTACATATTGAGGTTGGCTACATTAGTAAAGTCTCTGCTTTGTGTGTTGCCTCATTAATGTTTGAGTCGCGCTGCTAACAATCCTCATTAATATGTATTCATAAATTTTTACGAAAATTCATATCAATGACATGTAAATCCTTTCAAATCGAAATTATAAGTATACTCTAATACCGGCGGTAATTTAAAAATTTAGTCCTACCACTTAGCATTACCATTCAATTTTGAAACCCACTTAAAAGCACCCGCAATGAGCTGACATGTCGGCACCTCATTGGGTCCACCAAAATTTAATACCAAAAGAGCGCTTTACTCCCAGAAACCAAGACGTTAACAAACAAAACATATCTCCACCACCGTTTGTTGAGAAGCTCAAAAACTCCGACCAAAATCAACTTCCAAATTCCTCCATCGGAGCCGCCACCCACGGCCGGGGTTTCTCTTTCTCGCACAAAATGTTCCGAATCAATTTTCATATAATTCTGATTCTGGGGTTAATGTCGACGGTAGCGCATTCCATGCGGTTCGACCTCCAATCGGGCGCCACCAAGTGCATTTCCGACGACATAAAGAGCAGCGCCATGACCGTCGGCAAGTACGCCGTCGTCAACCCCAATGAGGGATCTCCTGTACCTGATTCCCATAAGCTCACTGTCAGGGTAATCCCCAAACCATTTCTGTATGTGGGTCTGTTTCTATATCTGAAAATATGATCTGGGTTTTCTTTATCACCAATTTTACGATTGGGTTTTTTGTTCAATCCTGTTTCGAATCTGCTTTCGGAGTCAAATGTGGCAAAAGATTGAATTTTTCAGAGTGAAGTTTAATGTTTAGGCAAAGCATTGATTTCTGTAAATTGGGTATATAATGATTTACATTGTAAGGTTGGATTTTTGGGAACAGTTTGGAGATTTGATCTGGTGATGCTGTGGGTTTGTAACAGGTGACCTCACCTCATGGAAGTAACTATCACTATGGGGATCATGTGGAGTCGGGAAATTTTGCGTTCACTGCTGCAGAGACTGGTGATTATTCAGCTTGCTTTTGGGTGTCGGATCATAAGCCCTCGACCACGGTGACGATTGATTTTGACTGGAAAACTGGTGTTGCTGCTAAGGACTGGTCCAATGTTGCCAAGAAAGGGCAGATTGAAGTAAGCAATCTTCTGCTTGCACAATGTACATACCTGCATTTCGATATTTGTTTTTGGTGTTTATTCCCTTTTTGTGAATTCCGTCATAAGCGTAAACTTTGTTCTTCCATTCTTTAGAATTTTATCAGGAAATGTGATGCTAGTGAACCCAAAAACTAGGAACACAAGTATTTGTTGATTAGGGATCGATACTATGAAGAACAGATGATTTCTAAAACTTGTTAGATTCACAAAAGTACCAAGGAAAAAGAACAAAACCGGAATGTCTTTTTCTTTCCTCTTCTTTTAATGTAATAATAGTCGGTATGTCTCTTGTTAGCTAGAAAGGCTCTTGTTTAAAGAGTTAGCACTCTTGAAGGAACAGGATTCGATATTGAAATCTGCCAATGTTAATATTGTTAATCTCGTTCATCATTAATTAGTATATTAACGTTGTAGAAACATCAAATGTACTGATCAAAAGGTACGGTTTTATGTCTTGTGCTGATATTTTTTTTTGCCTTGTGCTAGTTGATGGAACTTGAGCTGAAAAAATTGTATGATACTGTATCATCCATTCATGATGAGATGTTTTATCTACGTGAAAGGTACGTAATTAGTATATCTTGTGTTTCTATTTCCAGCACATGTGGTGGGGTTTCACTTATATGATGTCACCTTATAATCCATGTGCATGCTTGAAGTTAAATTGGTTTTCTGTAAAATTTGAGAATGTGCTGCTTTATTCTTCCAATATTGCTTATCGTTGTCGCTCTAGTCCAGATAAGAGACGAAAGTAATAGGGACGGTTTCCCATTCCACTTTATTTTCTCTCCCCATTCTTTTGCTTCTTCTTCCTCTTTCCCATGTTAAAACATCTCCCTTTAGAATGATACCGTTGAATTCTGCGTAGGACTCACATGGTTGTTTCCTTCGGCCACTTAATATCAGGAAACTCGTAGAACAGTCTGCAACTTTTTGCTATCAAACATCTTGCATTCTTAGATGCTTTTACACCAGTAACTCATTTGAATCGAAATATTAGACCCCATTTATTCTGAGATTTCTTTGATTGAGAAGAGGCGGCATGTTTCTGTTATACCTGATGTTACATTTTTCCGTTTTCCCTTGTTCTCTTTTTCCTGTCCTGGTGTTTTTCAGGGAGGAAGAAATGCAACAACTTAATAGATCAACTAACTCCAAGATGGCGGTTTTTAGCGGCCTTTCGCTTTTTGTATGCCTGTCGGTGGCTGGTTTGCAACTATGGCATCTCAAGATGTTCTTTGCGAGGAAGAAGCTCCTCTAATTTTTTGTTCTGCAGTTATGTACTCACACTATTTGTTGTTCCCCTGTATTTTGAGGCCAAATCCTAAGTTGGACAGTGATTTGTTCTACTGAGAGTTTAGCTTCTAGAAAGGAGTCCCATCAAAGTATTGGTCTGTATTGTTGAAACTGGTTCTCTACTTTTTCCAGAGCAAGGAAACTGACTGACTTCATCAACATCATTTGCAGTCCCTTTGAATACTTAACGTATGAGACCCTTCATCAACATCGTTCGACAATTAAATATATCGTTCCAGCCCACCGTGTGAGTTTGAGTCTAATTTATAAGAACCCAACTTACTTTTTCGACAACTGTTATTGATACTCTTACATTGTTGTTAAATTAGAATCAAACTCAATTTATCAACAGTTATTATTGACACTTTAAAAATATCATTCTTTACTCATTAAAACAATATATCAGTAAAGTTTTTATCAATGTGGGTTAAAAGTGGAAATAGGATCCTCTTTGCGGGAATCCGGAGGATTAATCAATCGTGTTCGTTTATTATACATCGTACGGTTAGAAATCATTTTAAAATTTTAATTTAAAATTGAATATAAATAGTATCTAACGAAAATTGATCGTATAATGAACACGATTGATTGATTGCCGGATCATCACAAAAAGGATTTGAAGATAATCCTTATCCCTAAAAGTGCTCATTTCTGAATTATATAATGATTTTTTTTTTCAGCGTCAATAACAGCTCTCGTTATCAATTGAAATATAAAAATCATTGTTCGTAGAAGCAAATCAAAATCATTGTTTGTAGGAGCAGAGATCCCAAGTTCACTAAGACAGTTTTAAAATACCGTTAATACCCGAACCAATGTATCAGTGACCAACAAACCCATGCCGCTGCCGGGGCAACAACAATGGCAAGCAAGCCTAAGCTTCAGCCTTGCCTACATGGCCCAGAACTGCCTCTCCATGACACACCTCAAGCAAATCCACGGCCGCGCAGTCGTCACAGACCTCCACCACCACGCCATCGTCCTCGCCAAGATGTTCCGTTTCGCCGCCATCTCACCCGCCGGCGACTTAAGCTACGCCCACCGCCTGTTCGACCAAATGCCCCAACCAAACACTTTCTTCTACAATACCCTCATCCGTGGTTACTCTAAAAGCTCGTCTCCTTCGGATTCGGTGGTTCTCTTCAACCAGATGAGGCTTAACTGCGTCGACCCAGATGAGTTTACCTTCACGTTTTTGCTGAAATCGCGGTCAAGGATGAAAATTGATGCTGCTCCGATTGTGGGGTCCGATGAGATTCATGGGATTGCGTTGAAGTTTGGATTTTGCGCGCATTTGTTTGTACAGAACGCATTGATTCATATATATGGGGCGAGAGGGATACCGGTTGCGGCGAGGCGAGTTTTCGATGAGGCGGTGGCTCCTGACGTCGTTTCGTGGTCGGGTTTGGTTATTGCGCATGTGAGAGCGGGGGAATTGGAGTTTGCACGGCAGGTGTTTGATGAGATGCCTGAGAGGGATGTGGTTTCCTGGACTGCTATGATTTCTGCGTATTCCCAAGCAAAGTATTCGAGGGAAGCGCTTGATTTGTTTTGGGAGATGAATCGTGAGGGAGTGATGCCTGATGAAGTCACCATGGTGAGTGTAATCTCAGCGTGTGCAGATTCCGCTGATGTAGAAACGGGGATATGCATCCATCGATATATTGATGCGAACGGGTTTTTGTGGATGGTTTCACTTTGCAATGCGCTGATTGACATGTACGCAAAGTGTGGATGCATGGACCGAGCATGGCAACTGTTCAATAAGATGAGCCGGAAGAGCTTGGTCACTTGGAATTCGATGATTTCAGCATGCGCTAACCATGGCAATGCCGATGATGCATTTGGTTTGTTTGAGTGCATGACTGCTGCTGGTGTTGCACCGGATGGTGTCACCTTTTTAGCCCTTTTAGTTGCGTATACACACAAGGGATTAGTAGATGAAGGGCTCAAACTATTCGAGAGAATGCAAACAGACTATAAAATCGAGGCACGAATTGAGCATTATGGTTGTGTGGTTGATATGTTAGGGAAGGCAGGACGACTAGAGGAAGCATACAGATTGATTAGTAGTATGCCAATTCGGGGCAACGATGTTATTTGGGGAACACTGCTTGCAGCTTGCAGAACTTATGGGGATGCTGATATGGGGGAGAGGGTAGTGAACAGGCTGTTAGAGTTGAAACCAGATGAAGGCGGGTACTACATTCTTCTTCGTGATATTTATGTTGCGGCCGGAAGGACAATGGAAGCAAATGCAATGAGGCAAAGCATGAAGGTTAACGGTGCTAGTAAGACTCCCGGATGCAGCTGGGTGGGAGCATAACGTTGGCTAGAAGAAGAGTAGAAATGTAATCCATGAGTCTTCGGCTTAGTTTAGTATTATTCGTTTGGATCGCTTACAAAACGTCAAGCGCTATTAAAAATGTAACATCTTGCACGATTGTTTAGGTGAGTTCGATTGATATACATATTAAACTCAAGATTTGTTGTCACACCTCCTGGAATGTCCACAAGTTCATTCGAATCAAGATGTGATGGCCATCACTCAAAGGATGACGAAGCTAAAAATGTATAAACGAAAGATAAACAAAAACTTCACCGATACAAGTAACTATTACAAAATCCCTATAGAATACCAAAATAAGAAAAACTATTAAATCCCTTTGTCTAACACAAACTCAACTTGTCTAGCACCTGTCTTGTAAAATAACACAAGTTCATTCGAATCAAGATGTGATGGCCATCATCCAAAGGGTGACGAAGCCAAAAATGTAAAAACGAAAGAAAAACATAAACTTCGCTTGTACAAGTAAGTATTACAAAATCCTTACAAAATACAAAAATAAGAAAAACTCTTAAATCCTTTTGTCTAACACAAACTCAGCTTGTCTAGCACCTGTCTTGTAAAATAACTCATCTGGAAAATAAAAATGTGAGGGGTGAGCAACAACCATTGTCGCTCAATAAGTCGAATATGTCATATGCCAGTAAAACAATGTCATTTTAGTTACTAAGGAAAATACAATAATAATATCAAATCAATATGCACGTAGTACCATATCACATCATCATTTTAAGTATTCATTATATCCTTCATAAATAGTAACCCACCACGTGAGTTCTATTGGCCACTCTGGCTCAGTGTCTCCGTGTGCGGTTTACATTTATACCTCGGATTAATGCAACACTAAAGTTCTCATGCTCCATGAACAATTTCAAATATCCACATATCACTATATTAATAATTCCGAAAACATTTCCACAAATCTAACATGCTTGACTTAAAATAAAGAGATATTTGAAAATAAGTATAATTTGCAACACATTACATAAACCACTCATCTTAATTCCGAACTTTGACAAGACAACCTAACTAACAAACTCCACACCAAACCTCTAATTATATCGGATGTTCCTGGATGCTTACTAACCAAATGGAGCAGCAGCTCCTTGTTTTTGGGGCTCTCGGAGCTCTCCGTGCGTGCAGAGGAAAGGAGAGTGTTTGAGGGGAGAAGAGAAATGAGAGTGATAAGAATGAGCTGAGAGAACGAGAGGTGTAGGGAGAGGAAAGAGAGTTAAAATAAAATTATTGGTTAGTGGGAGTGAGAAGACAAAGAACGTGGTCCAAGTGTTTAGATTATACAAATGAGAGAGTGGACACGTTGACGAGGGAAGATGGTGGGGAAAAGAAAAGTATTTATATAATGCTGATGTTGTTGTTAAGATAAAAGGGTCATGATGATGTTTGCAGAAAAAAAAAAGGATCAAGATTGTTTACCCTTTCATTTTTCATTTCTTTCCGTCTCTTCTTATTTTTTCTAACCGTTAATTTCATGTTAAGTTAATTTAATACTTCAGATTTTACTATCTCACACATTTTTACTCTCATTTCTTCCTCTTCGTTTCTGCTGCTGCATTCACAAACCAAGAAACATTTTCGGCTGCACAACAACATCCTTCACCAAGAATGCCTTCGAATTACAATACAATTTCCGAGTTGCTTTTCGGATTCTAAATCATGGGTTTCCTTCTTTGCTTCAAAAAAATAATGGGTTTTTAACCAATCTGCTGACGGTTCAAGTGGGAGAGACGGATTGACGACAGTGGGGAAGGATCCCACTTCTTGATTTAAAACTTGAAAGAAACCTAACCAAAAACGGGTTCTCACAATTGTAATCACTCACTGAACTCAAATTTACCGACCTACGAGTGTGATTCTATAAAAATTGAAATCAAATCCAATTTTCAAGCCCACTGTGTAGCAATAAAAGGTTCATAGATAAACTTAACACACATAAATTAATGGACTAAATACAATCCAATCCGGTTTTAAGTATGATTATTGCGGAGCAACGATGCACACACGACCGCACGCTTGAATTCGGATAGCCTCCGTTTAGCGTTTAGAACACACACTCACACATGTAACACAATACCACTCAAAGGAAAACATGCCGAAACCCCTTTATTTAGTAGCTAAAGTTCGGCATGGATCTCCCGTTAATAAGGCAGTAAGTATTATGATCACTCATCGTCATAGCTCTTGCGTTGGTGGTGGTGCTTGTGGCGGCGCTGCTTTTTCTCCTCATCGTCATCTGAGTCGTCATTTCCCTGCCATATTCAGAAAAGAGAATCAGATGCAGATAACACAAGCCAGCCAGCAGTGATGGGCAAATAAAAGGTACATTTTCACACTTTCAGACCACATTCACCAGAAATGCAAAGAATTTACCAAAAGACTACAGAAGGGGTGAAGTTGATTAGGAAACAGAAACATCAAAGACCTATATGCATTGCATAGATTCGAGCTTGCAGTGACACACCCGGCCGCGATGTCCAGTGAACACCGAAACCGAAACCAAGACGTGCAGGCCATCACTAAAATTATCATAAAAACATAACTAAAATTATCAACTGTCAAATTTACCGAAAATTCGACAAAACTTGCCCTAAAATAGGTCTTTGGGACTGCTTGGAAAGGTTATAGGATTTAAATTGTCTAAAACCAGCAACACCAAGAGCTTGAGCCGCTGCTCAGTACTATGTTCTGATGGCATTCCTTTTCACTTAGAAGTAAAAAATCTTAGGTTCAAATCTCATTGATAAGGAATCCAATACCAAATTAGGTTGTCCATGGCTTAGCCGAGCTTCAACTTTCCTTGGTGTAAAAACAAAAAAAAAAATAAAAAATAAAAAACTTTGATGCAAAGCAATTTAAAAGGGCGAAGCGAGGTTCTCACATATTTCTTGCGACCAGTAGCCTTCTTCACCGTACCCCTGCTCCTCGCTCCTCCCATAGCTGGGCTTCTCATACTCCCCACTTTCCTGGCCCTCATAGCTGGGCCTCCCATAGCTAGGCCTCGGGGGTGGCGGCTCATCTCCATAACCAGTCATCCTCGGCGGTGGCGGCTCATCTCCATAGCCGGTCCTCCTTGGCGGTGGCGGCTCATCTCCATAGCCGGTCCTCCTCGGCGGTGGCGGCTCATCTCCATAGCCGGTCCTCCGCGGCGGTGGCGGCTCATCTCCATAACCGGTCGGCTCATCTCCATAGCCGGTCCTCCTCGGCGGTGGCGGCTCATCTCCATAGCCGGTCCTCCGCGGCGGCTCTTCGCCGTGACCCGGCCTCTCAAACTCGGTCCTCCCATAGCTCGGCCTCTCCTCGCTTTCTGGTGTCTCATAGCTGGGCTGCCCATAGCTTGGCCTTCTCGGCGGCTCTTCGCCATAACTACCCTCCTCACCATAGCTCGGCTTTCTCGGTGGCTCTTCGCCATAACCAGATTCCTCACCGTAGCTGGGTTTGCGACCATACTCAGATCCGAATTCAGCTGGCGGTGCCTCAAACTCAGGCTTTCGCCCGTACCCAGATCCATATTCGGACTCGGGTGCCTCGTACTCGGGCTTTCTCCCGTACCCAGATCCATACTCGGGTTCGGGTGCCTTATACTCGGGCTTTCTCCCGTACCCAGATCCATACTCGGGTTCGGGTGCCTTATTCTCGGGCTTTCTCCCGTACCCAGATCCATACTCGGGTTCGGGTGCTTTATACTCAGGCTTTCGCCCGTGCCCAGATCCATACTCCGATTCGAGCGCCTCGTGTTCCGGCTTCCGACCGTACCCAGTGTATTCGGAGCTGGGCTCATCAGCTTCGGGCCTTCGTTGGTACCCAGAGCCGTATTCCGAACCGGATTGTCCATACTCGGGCTTCCGACCATAACCCGATTCAGGCCTCTCGGATCCGAACTCGGGCCTCTCCTCCCCACCAGGCTGGAAACCATAGGCCGGCTGGGGCCTTCCTTCGTACTCTCCCTCTGGATGTCCCCCGCCGGGATTGAACCCGACAGCTGGTCCGGGTCGGTGCGCCGGTCGGGCGTAGTGTGTGTACTCGTCTTCGAGAGCCTCGTCGGCGTAGGCGGAGGGCTCGGAGTACGACGAGAACTGGGGGCGATCGTAATCGAAATCATCAGTCGGCGATGAGTTGGGGTGGCAGGTCTCGTCGGACGGGTCGAGAGGACGGCCGAAGGTCAGGTAAATGTCGTATCCCCCGCCGTACGGCGTCGGATCGTACTCTTCGAAGTCAGTGACTTCATCCTCGGCGTGCGTGTAGTAAGGCATCGTTTAGATCTTGAAAATGCGACTGTTAAAGTTGACGAGGGAGCGAAATCTCGGGGTTGCGTATTTATAGTCGTGGAAGATTTTCCCGTCAGTTATATTTCCTTATTGGTTAGTGACACGCGGACGGTTCGTGTCCGGCCTGTGGGCCTTGTGTCATTTTTGTGGGCCCATTGAATTATTGGATCTAGTCGGCAGGAGAAACACTCAAATAAGAATGGGACGCATATGTTGGTCAGTCCTAATTTTATTGGAGGATATCATATAAATGTAGTACGAAAAATATAATGTGAGTGGTATTATTTTTATTTTATTTTATTTTATACATATAAGAGCGTTAAATTTATAATAATATCTTACTTCCAAAATAATTTGAAGTAGATTAGGACTGAAAGCAATTAATAAATCGACAACATCTTACTTCTTTTTTTTAGCGACAACTGTAAATCTCATTTCTACATAATTCTACGAAAAAAGAAAAAATCTCATTAAATTATCATTTCCAAGAGTCCATGCTATTTGTTTGTTTCCAGTTGAGTTAGTTAGCTAACTTCATTTATACTTAATTCAACGAAAAAGAAGAAATCTCATTAAATTATCATTTTCAAGAGTCAAACTAACTTCATTTCTACTTAATTCTACGAAAAAAAAATCTCATTAAATTATTATTTCCAAGAGTCAAATCTTAGATGATATTTGTTTGTTTCTAGTTGAGTTGGTTGGACTTGGACCTCCATATTATATTATATATACTAAAATTCAGTTTTCCTCAACACTGATCATTAACAGTGTTTTGACGTAATTGCCCTTTATTTGCTAACAATTCTCGACTTCTTTTGTGTATAGTATAGTAAAATCACGGATTTACCCCTTCTGTACGCGTGTCCGCCATCGTAGAAAGGAATGGGACGGGTGGCACTCTTCTCTTGCTTCTCTCAGGTGGATCTCTAGAATTTTCCTTTGGTTTCCATCGCCATCACCCAACCAATCCATCAAACTCATCATTATACCCCACTAATTGCTCTCTCACTCTTTCCATCAAGGTATGTCGTTTATTGTATTGTGAATGTGTTTTTCTCTGTTAATTTGTATTGGTTTTCTATTCTGATTTAGTTAATCGAGTTTGTTTTTATTTCAGCTATTTGGTCCATGCTAAAGTTATTGAACGGTAGAACACCGGAACCAGTGATCTTTCAAAAAGGTTGGTTCTTCTATATATATATATATATATATATATATATATATTTATCCTTTTGGTCGTTTTGAATGGACTTCCTATAATCTAAATGAAGCTAAATTGAATAGTTGTTTTTGTATATTGTATTTGCTTTGTCAAATTAGTTCTTTTTTGTTGAAAAATGTTATTTGGTTTTGCAGATCAAAGTTTTTCAGAAAGAAAAATATTTGGCAAATTAAATTTACATATGAATACTTACATTTATTTAGCATTTTCCATTCGTCTTTACTTTTAGTGCATTGTGGTTGTAAATGTCGACATTTAGTGCATTGTGGTCTTAATTTAATTATGTGGTTGGTTTCAGGATTTCTTGAGTCGAATAACAACATGGGTGATCAAAAGGTAAAAAAGCAGTTGGTCTCTGCTTGCAAGATGACTTCTTTCCATCCCCGTCCTCCCTCTAAGTCAACTGAGGATTCAAATCCAGCGGATCCAGCTCGAGATAATTTTTAGTGATGTGTTTTTAATAGAATTGCAGATTTGAGTAGTGAATTTTTACAATGGTGTTATTTTTTTAACAATTTATAATGCTATTTGTAAAATTTAGAACAACTATAATATCGTTTGATTTCAATTTGTAATTGCTTCTTTTGATACATTTAAGCTTAATTATGTTAGTAAATTTTTATATCTTATGTCCAAATAAATGTACAATATAGTGTTTGATACATATACAATATAGTATAGGATACATATGCAGTAGTGTATATGTAAAGTTTTTATATTCTTGCTGACCATTTTCAATGTACGCATTTTGTATGTAGAGTGTGAAAAATGCCTTCTTCACAAAGGCAACATAGAGAACATATTCTACTTCATATGAAAAGAAGGGGTTAGTTTGATTGTCATTGCTTTTTTGATATGGTTAAATTCTAAGTTACTTGGCTTACGTCTAATTTAATTGTTTGCTTGCCCAAGTTAAAGTCATTCGTTTTATTAATGCTGGTGACCAAAATCAACCTGAGTTAATGTTAAAACAATATCATAATTTTCATTAGTCTTTGATTACCTTAACCCTTTTCTTTTCCGTCTTTACCAAAATTTAATGAAATTTTTGCACAAATTTTTTTTATAGAAATTAAGTTGATTCACTATTTTACTGTCTCTTGGTAGAATTTTTTTATTCGTTGTTCAAAATTATTATTGCAAATTTTAAGTGGTGGAAGAGACCCTTTTATGATTAGCATCTAATATCTTCTTTAACACAATTTTTTATATTATATTATCAAAAGCTGTAATATCTCCATTTTAAGGTTTGTAATTTCAGAACAATGTGTTGATGAAACACACAAAGGAGTCCTTCAACATGGAACATGAAGATGTAATTAAAGTTTCTACAGAAGCTACTATATACTTAATTAACAATGACAATGATGAATCTCTTCACATTGCAAAGCTCATCCCCTCCATTAGCAATCCTAGACAGTTTGAGGTAACATCCTCAATTCATTTTATCAATTTATTTGTTTGAGCTATTAATTATCGCACAAACCCAATTAAATTTCAATACAAAAACTTGAATTTTGTCTTAATTTTAATAGTTGGAGTTAGTAGTTTATATCATTGATTTAACGTTGTACAACTATTCTTCCATGCTGGTTCTGCAAATCCGTGAACTCCGCACCAGAAATCAATGACTTTGATATATGACACCTATATGTTAGTTATTGTAAACATCTTTGTAAATAGATTTTCACATGAATATAAATAGTGTTGTATATCGTAGGTATTTATAACTCTCTGCATGTTTTAGTTTTAAAACCCGTAGCAACGCAACACGCGAGTACCGTTGCTAGCACGTATTGTACAAGAGTTGTGAACTTGAATGATCGAGCAGAGCTCACCCTACCTTGAGCTCCCTTGTAAAAAGTTTGGAGTGGTTCAAAAGTTTTACGAGCTGAACATACTAATGCTCAAACTTGGAGCCGAACAAGCTTGGCTTGGTTCTTTCACAAGCCAAACTTCGACGAGCCAAACCCAATGCAAATTTAAACAGTTTTGAACCAATTTACAGCCCTAATTGCATGGTTTACTTTTTTAATTAGTGGCAAATATTTATTCGATCGGTAATATTACTGAAATTATGTCTTAGTTTTACGAGAGAATACCTATAAAAGGACGACCACACTTACAAAGAGTGAAACTCTGTCCCACATATTTCCTAAAAGGTTTCACTAATTAGCTAGACTGCCCTCTCTTTGTGATTGTAGTTGAATGAATGATGTGTCCTTGGTAGAAAGCCTTCGTTTCTTTCAAGTGATGTGTTCGAACAATTCTGACACCATCTTTGCTCGAATCACTTAATTTGGTTTCAAAAACTTTGAGCGGAGGACGACCTGTGTAAGTATTCTTCAAGGCAATAAAACAACAAAAAGTTGATTCTACTGCACCTAAGGTCCCAAGCGATTTTTATACGTACATTTTCATACGGTGTTGAGACAAATTTGCAATCAAATTAAGCAGTGAACAATGCCATAAAATCAATTTAAGAAGGATGGCACATGACATGAGTACCCGACGTATGTTAGTTACTGAATTGCTTGGTCGCTAGTACAGCATCCCGGCCACCATGATGATCGACTGCCACCAGGCGACGTAGACTGCATGCATGCAACAGATAATAACACAACGTTTAGATACAAATACTTAAAGAAACACTTTGCTTAATTCTAATATGTGCATGTATGGTTGTTTCACTTTCATTAAAGTAACACGTTCCGATAAATAAACATGTAAAACATACGTGTTTGTCATACAACACACTTAATTCAAACTTTTAAACCATAATGCGTTTTTTCTCTTCATCCGACGGGTTTGATGTATATGTTTTCAATGCGTTTATTTCTTTTATCACGTGTAGATGGACTAGTAAACACATAAGACATACGTGCATGTCAACTGAAAACATAATGTAAGATTCCAAATAAAGAGAATAAGAGTGGTTTCTCACATATTTCTTGCGACCATAGCCTCCTTCCCCTGCAGGAGTACTCTCTTCGTCGTCAAAAGACCCGCTTTTCCTCCCTCCTCCATACCCCTTCTCTTTCCCACCACCCAAATTCTGTTTCCGAATATTGTACTGGTCGACCTCGTGCGACGGTCGGGCGTAGCTGTTGTACTCCTCTTTCACGCCCTCCTCGTCGTACGCAGACGACTCTTTGTACTACGGAAACTCCGGCTCGTTGTAATCATTGGAGGCCGACCCCGACGAGTGGCGGTAGCACGTCTTCTCTGTAGGTTGTAGAGGCCGGCCATAAGTCAATCCCATGTCGTATCCGCCCTCGTAAGGCGTCGGGTCATACTCCTCGAACATGTCGGCGCCGTCGTCGGTATCCTTCGTCGCGTAGTACGAGCGGTAACGCGTCATTATTGTAATATCGAATTTTGATGAGGTTTTGATCAACTTTTCCTGATGAGAAGAATATAAGTCTTAAATGTTGCTTAACGCTCTATATATGGCGGTTGACGATTTCTCCTGCGAAAAATCGTGTCAAAAAGTGCAATCTCAAGGCCAAATTTACACCCTTTGGTTTCATTATTTACCGTAAATTTTACAGTGGCCTGCATTATTTTGAGGGTTTCATTTTAATTTTGTCCGTGTAATTGCAAAAAGTAATGTTATTCACATTCGTTTTTATTTATCGTATACACTTATTAACTGGAGTCGAAATCCGTATCGAAAACTTGTGAGTATTGGGCCACATGTTCCTTTCTATGGGCCCTTTGGACCCGGCCCATTACAAAGCCGACATCACCAGATTCCAAGAACTAAACTTTAAACATTTTTTATCTGATCCTCTGTCACTGTCGGTCCGGCTGGCTGGACCGATACTCTGCTTTTAATCTTCGCGACCATCGATCCAATCGCCACTGCATGCAAAGACACAAACTTTAACAAATTCCCACTTCGGAGAGCTCCCAGATCGTGAGAAATGGCGGCCCTCGTTCTCAGGGTCGCGCAGGATGGCTCCGGCGACTTTCGGACGGTGCAGGAGGCCATCGACGCCGTTCCTCTCTGCAACACCCGTCGCACCGTGATTCGCGTCGCTTCCGGAATCTACCGGCAGCCGGTGTACGTGCCCAAGACGAAGAACCTCATCACGCTCGCGGGTCTGGCTCCGGAGCTCACTGTGCTCACCTGGAACAACACCGCCACCAAAATCGAGCACCACCAGGTGGGGTAGTACCCTTTTTTTAATCTACCCAGTAGGGTTTTCGACACGTGTATGAAGGGTTTTGCTGACGTAGTAGGTTTTTGGTAGGCTTCTCGGGTGATCGGAACTGGGACTTTCGGGTGTGGGAGTGCTATTGTGGAAGGAGAGGATTTTATTGCAGAGAACATCACTTTTGAGAACTCAGCTCCTGAGGTTAGCTTTGTTTCGGTTCTTGGTTTCCTTTCATTATTTAGTTATAGTTCAAAGTTTGCATCTTTTGATTGCATTTCTGTATATTGAGCATGGTGAAACTTGTAATCTGAAGTTGAAATTTTGAACCTGTTGGTTTGTTTTGTTTTGTTTTGGTTTTCTTCTGTGGATTGTTATGAATGTTGGAGTTACTAGTTTCGTTGGATTAACCAGGTTTTTGAAATCTTATTTGGGAGTGAAGGAAAGGGGAAAAGGATCCTCGCAAGATCCTTTTCCTGGGGATGCCGTCATCGTATCCGTTCATCGTATATCGTCGTGGTCAGAAATTATTTTAAATTAATTTGTACGATGAACGGACACAATTACAGAATCTCCCGGATCCCCATCCTTTTCCAAGGAAAGGATGATATGATTGGAAGACAAGGAGATTTTTCAGACTTGTTTTGATTAGGGAAAACCGGGTTTGGAACGTTCAGCCAACACAAAAATCTCATTTTCGTTACTTTTGGTAATGGAGAGAAAATGCGAGCAATGAAGCTCGAAAAGCCTCTCTTTCTCTCATTTTCTTAATCGAAAATACACTTTAAAGGTTCTGAAAACCAACATCTTTGTCATCAGAGAAGTTGTGGAATGTTTAAACTTTGTTGTTAGAGGTTGTTGGAAATGTACAAACTTATGTCTTTTATAGTAATACAAAGTCCTTCGAATTTTCCTTTCACTCTTTGAACTTCATTCACTCTCAACATTGTGTTTAACTTTTTTATTCCCTCTGTTTTGTTCGGTAGGGATCGGGTCAAGCTGTGGCAATTAGAGTAACAGCTGATCGATGTGCCTTCTATAACTGCAGGTTCCTTGGATGGCAGGTATACCCATTGTCCCAATTAGTCAGTTATTTTCTTTAATTTCCTGTTGGGTACAAACTGTTACTGTTTTTACTGGGTAACCACGAGCTATTTGAGGATAAGTGAGAGCAGTTATCAGTCTAATTGGAGGGTCCTTTCGATTTTTAATGCAGGATACCCTATACCTGCATTATGGAAAGCAGTATCTGAAAGATTGTTATGTTGAAGGAAGTGTGGACTTCATTTTCGGCAATAGCTCAGCACTTCTGGAGCATTGTCATATCCACTGCAAGTCAGCAGGTTTCATAACTGCCCAAAGCAGGAAATCTTCCCAGGAGACAACAGGATATGTATTCTTAAGGTATGTTGGTTTGCTAGCCTTTCGCCCATCTTGGTTGAAGTTGCTTGTGGCTTACATAAGCAATTGAATCCTTGAATTGTATGGAACCATATTTAGTTCTCTCTTTTCTTGGAGAAGTAACTATCAACCAAAAATAGCGAAAGGAAAAAGAGACAATAAGATACTTATGCTATAATATTTTTTGGATGTGGTCCAATATCCCAGTGGATAGGGTTTTGGTTTCCACCCATATGTCCCGGGTTCGAAACTCCCCCGTCCCCTAAATTGTTGTTGTAGTTTTGAGCCCTCCCCCTCCCCTAAATAATAATAATTTAAAACGGAAAATTAATATTTGAATGAAATCTTGCCGTGATACTCTCTTGACTCTTTAGACTTTCCGGTTTCCCTATGTCTTTCTGATACAAGTTAGAGTTCCATACTTTCTAATGCAACATTTGATAACTTATGAAACTTGGATGTGTTTTCTTGTACTTCATTGATGAACGATTGATGATTTGTTTTCTTTTACTTCAAAAACCAACCCTGTTTTCTTGAATTGTTGCAGATGTGTAATCACTGGAAATGGTGGGACTTCATATGCATATCTAGGACGACCGTGGGGACCTTTTGGAAGAGTCGTTTTTGCATATACATTTATGGATGGATGCATCAGACATGTAGGATGGAATAATTGGGGTAAAACAGAGAATGAACGAAGTGCTTGCTTTTATGAATACAGGTATGCATACTTTAGTCCATCTGCATAGTACTTCTATTCTACAGTGCCTCCGTTCGGTGGAACGTTGTCTTATCAAACCAAACGATGGACATGGACTACAATAACTTCGGAGGAACGTGGTGTCTTATCAAACCAAACTAGTTTGTTTTTAGATGGTTCATGTGGGGTACCTAAAAGTAAAATTAAACAGAGCTGAGAAGGGAAAGATGTTTACCTTAATTGGGTTCTCAAGCTTGTGGCTTTGTTTACCTGCTCTTGCGCGTAACAACTTCTTGAAGTAGTGATTGTTGCTTTGAAATTATAAGTTTCTTTCGGGTTCGTGAGTAGAGGTAGAGTTTGACAAGCTTGCATCGTTGAATGAAAATTGCAGGTGTTTTGGACCGGGTAGTTGCCCATCGAAACGGGTGACATGGGCTAGAGAACTGGTAGACGAGGAAGCAGACCAGTTCCTCCAGCATCGTTTCATCGACCCAGATCCAGGAAGGCCTTGGCTTGCCCAGAGAATGGCCCTAAGAATACCATATTCTGCCTAGGAGTTAAAACATGGGAAATATTCCCTATAAAGTTGGTCGAGTATACTGAAATCATTTTACGACGAAAGAATAAGATATGAGCTGTAGCTATTTCAAGATGCCCGAGGCGTTACAAGGCCATTTTTAGCGTTTGAGCTTCGTATCCCGCCCGATGTAACTGCTTGTTTCAAAGACTTTTATGTTTTGATTTGGCTAGATTTATCCAGGATAATATTGATAAACTCGTTCCATTCTTTGGTTTCATTTTCATCCTTGGCCTTCATCATGGATAGTTTATGGTATTACTGATCTTGTGATGATAAAAATCCTTTTCCGTTTGACCTCCAACCGGTGTATATCCAACTTTAACACGGTACTCAACCTATATTTTACAAAGCTGTTATAAACAGTCGTCCGTTACCAAAAACACATTTATAGATGCATGTTATGGCTTGGAAGAGGATCCCCTCCGATTCATTTTGCAAGGATTTTCACTTTCTAGTTATTTATTGTATATCGTACGGTCAGTTTTTGTTAGATATTATTTGTATTTAATTGTAAATAAAAAAAGTCAAATGATTTTTTACTACACATACATAGTCAGATATTATTTATATTTAATTGTAAATAAAAAAAGTCAAATGATTTTTTACTACACATACATAATGAATAATTAAGATGTAAAAGTTTTTAGGATTCCTATAAAGTGAATTCGGATGAGATGTAATTGTAGACATCGAAATTTCGGTGAAACAAATGTTCACCAATGCATTAAAGTTTTGACGTGTCAAGGCATACATGGCATACGCCACGTGTTGTACAAATTGTACACATGGCGTGTGACTCAACAAAATAGGAAGAAATACCCTTGAAGGATTAAACAAGTTTTTCTTCTCATTTTGGGCAATGACAAGGCAAGTACATTTCAATCCATTGAGGATCAAAACAAGTTTTTCTTCTCATGTTGGGCAATGACAAGACAAGCACACGTCAATCCCTTACGGATCAAAGCAAGTTTTTCTCATTTGGGCAATGACAAAGCATACACATTTCAAGTTTAAAATGGTGTTAAGTGGGAAATTAGGCCATAAGTTACACCACTTCAAGTTTAAAATGGTATTAAGTAGGAAATTAGGCCATAAGTTACACCACTTCAATTTCAATATTGCATTAAGTGGGAAAATTAGGCAATGGTGCTTGGAAAGGAAAAAAATATTTTGTGGTGGTGATTCATTCTCAAAGCCTATAAATAGGCTTCTCCATCAAGGTATCAAGCATCAAGGAATTCACAAATACATTTCTCTACTCCAAAATTGGGAGAGAATTCCCCAAATCCTTGAAGCTTTGAAACTCCAAAGCTCTCAAGCATCCAAATTCCCAAGAATTCCGAAGGATCAAGAAAGCACTCTTCGTTCTTCGTCAAATCTTCCTTCAAGATCAAGCCCCGACGGCCCTTGAAGAAAGTGTTCATCATTCATCAACTGTTCATCCTTAGATCAAGCCCCGACGGCCCTTTGGATCAACAACTCATCCACAAACCCATACACCCATTCTTCAAGATCAAGCCCGACGGCCCTTGAAGAAAGTGTTCATCCGTTCATCCTAAGATCAAGCCCCAACGGCCCTTTGGATCAACAACCTCAACAAATCCACACATACAACCGTTCATCCAAGATCAAGCCCCGACGGCCCTTGGATCAACAAACAAATCCACACATCTATTCTTCAGGATCAAGCCCAAAAGCCCCCCTTGAAGAAAACCAACTGTTCATTCAAGATTAAGCCTCAACGGCCCTTGAAGAAAACCAACCGTTCTTCAAGATCAAGCCCAAAAGCCCTTGAAGATCCGCTCATCCATCAACATTCAAGATCAAGCCCTGAAGGCCCTTGAAGAAACTTCCATCAACCTTCAAGATCAAAGCCACGAAGGCCCTTGAAGAAACTTACAACTGTTCATCCAAGATCAAGCCTCGACAGCCCTTGGATCAACAAATCTACATCTTACGAAGATAGAATCAGAGGACCAAATTTGAGAGAGATCGTAACCCCAAAATCATCAAACACAAAAAATATTATTTTGTACACGTTATTCTTGTTTCTTGTTTCAAGGAACTTTCGTGTTCACAAATTTGGCACGCCCAGTGGGACATCTCTACCTCTCATCTCTATCCTCAAAACATCGAAAAACGCAAATGGCATCAAGAAAGGATCAAGCTGTTCCTGCAATCAAAGCAAAGAACAAGAACATCATCGCTGCAAGTGGTGATATTTCGGGCACCATAACCCGAAGTAAGGCAAGAGCTCTTTTTGCCGCGGCTTCCGCCCCTGCATTAACTCTGTCAAATGAACAAGAGCACCTGAGGCACGAGCCTGTGATCACCCTAGCCTCGCTAAGGGCATCAAGAGGGGAAAGCCCGAGGAAATACTCAGAGTCCCTACTCTCCGACGCTGAGTCGAGCGGCAGTACAACCATGCAAGTCATGACCACTGGAGCAACTTCAATCGAGGAGCAGCTAGCTCAGATGAATGAAGCAATCGCAAAGCTTACACGGACTGTGGAAGAGAAGGACTTGCAGATTGCTGCACTTGTCAACCAACTAGATGCGCTGCCCGACGTGAAAGTCGACCTAAATGTTGGCCTATTAAAGAAAGAAGTCGACGAAGAAGAGGAGCCATCAGCGGAGAAAGTTGAAGAGAAGCCGAAGCTAGACCAAGCAACGGCATTCATGGGATCTCTCTCTATCCAGCAGTTACAGGAGATGATCGCAAGCACTATCAAGACACAGTACGAAGGAAGCTCGCATGACTCCGTACTGTACTCAAAGCCTTACTCCAAGAAGATTGATGCTTTGAAAATGCCAAGGGGTTATCAGCCCCCAAAGTTCGTGCAGTTCGATGGAAAAGGCAACCCGAAGTAACATGTCGCCCATTTCATTGAAACTTGCAACAATGCTGGGACAGAGGGAGACTACCTCGTCAAACAGTTCGTGCGTTCGCTGAAAAGTAACGCTTTTGACTGGTACACTGACCTCGAACCTGAGTCTATCAACAGTTGGGACCAGCTAGAAAGGGAATTCCTCAACCGTTTCTACAGCACTCGTCGTACTGTAAGCATGCTAGAGCTGACCAGTACGAAACAGTGGAGAGATGAACCTGTCGTCGACTACATAAATAGATGGCGCTCCTTAAGTCTGGATTGCAAAGATCGGCTTTCTGAAACCTCTGCCATTGAGATGTGCGTTCAAGGCATGCAGTGGGGACTACACTACATCCTTCAAGGCATCAAACCACGAACATTTGAGGAGTTAGCCACCCGCGCCCATGATATGGAGTTAAGCATCACCCCTTCATGGGAAGAAAGAACAGATCGCCGACTACAAGAATGACAAAGTTTTGGGGCCAAAGGTGGATAAGGCTACGTGGAAACCGACCAAGGAAGCAATGACGGTCAACACAACTCCAGTCAAAATCCATACACGAAGCAAGGCGATTCAAACCGAAGCTTTTCGTGATCAAGAGATACGTAGACGCACTTTGAAGGAGCTTGAGGAGAAGACTTATCCATTCCCCGACTCTGACGTGGTTGCCATGTTGAAAGACTTGCTTGACAAAAAGGTGATCGACCTACCTGAGTGCAGACGGCCAGAAGATATGAACCGTACTGACAGTCCAAGGTACTGTAAATTCCACCGCTTCATTAGTCATCCGACGGAAAAGTGCTTTGTGCTAAAAGATTTCATCATGAAGTTGGCTCAGAAAGGGATCATCGAGCTAGATCTTAATGATGTGGTGAAGTCAAACTATACCACCGTCACTTCTTGCTCTTTGAACTCAAAATCTTCACCTCAACCGCTAGGGGCATGCTCCAAAACCATGTCAGTTAAGTCAAGTGAAGTTGAAGGATGGACTTATGTCACTCCAAAGAAAATGCACAAGAAACATAGGTCTCCTCCACAAGTTCACCAATCGGAAAAGGGGCAAAGCAGCTATCGTCAACCTTCAAAGCTACATGAAAGTGTTGAGGATGATGAAGTTATGACACAAAGATCGTCCGTTGCCATCACGATGCGCGATTTCTTCCCCAAAGACTTCTTCAATCACTCAGTCAAAACTCCTTGCTATAAAGATTGCAAGGAATGCTTCTCTAAGATCATTTGACAAATTCACAACCAAAGCTCCTCGTTCGCACGAGCCTAAAAGGCGACAACCGACGCTCCTCGTTCGCACGAGCCTAAAAGGCGACAACCAAAGCTCCTCGTTCGCACGAGCCTAAAAGGTGACAACCAAACGCTCCTGGTCCGCATGAGCATAAAAGGCGACAACCAAAGCTCCTCGTTCGCACGAGCCTAAAAGGTGACAACAAAAGCTCCTCGTTCGCACGAGCCTAAAAGGTGACAACAAAAGCTCCTCGTTCGCACGAGCCTAAAAGCTCCTCGTTCGCACGAGCCTAAAAGGTGACAACAAAAGCTCCTCGTTCGCACGAGCTTAAAAGGTGACAACCAAATGCTCCTTGCCTGCACGAGCTGAAACTGCAAACGGCACCAAACGCTCCTTGCCTGCACGAGCTGAAACTGCAAACGGCACCAAACGCTCATTGCCGATCATCCAATCCCGGCTGATTGGAAAATCTCAGACGACTTGCCTGACGAGGAGGTGTTCTACATCGACATCTTCCCAACATGGACGATGTTCTTCGATGGATCCGCACGAGCAGACGGAGCGGGGGCATGAGTAGTATTCATGTCGCCACAAAGGCAAATACTACCTTACTCCTTCCAACTGAATGAGCTATGCTCCAACAATGTTGCTGAGTACCAAGCATTGATCATCGGGCTCCAAATGGCAATCAACATGGAAATCACAGCTCTTAAGGTATATGGCGATTCCAAGCTCATAATCAATCAACTCTTAACTGAATATGAGGTGAGGAAAGATGATCTCGTCCCATACTTCCAGCTAGCGACCCAACTGCTACAAAAGTTCGAAGCTGTGACACTGGAACATGTGCCAAGAAAGGAAAATCAAATGGTAGACGCTCTCGCCAATCTAGCCTCGAGTATGACACTAGGAAAAGATGAAGTTGCAGACGTGCCAGTTTTCCAAAGATGGGTGATTCCGCTCGTTAATGAAATGTCACTAGATGATACAAATGTCATCTCAGTACTTCCAGTCGATGCTGAAGAGTGGAGACAGCCGCTGATCGACTATTTAGAGCACGGAAAGCTTCCAGATGATCTTAGACACCGTTCCGAAATACGTCGACGAGCACC